ACAAACAGGGAGAGAAAAGAAAAAGAAAAAGAGTGAGAGAGATGAAAGAAAAAAAGAAAAAAGGGACAGAGAGACAAAATGAAGGAGAGAGGGAGAGAGAGAGAGAAAGAGAGAGAGAGAGAGAAAGAAAGGAAGAAATAAATAAAGAAAAAAGAAAAAAAAGAAAAAGAGTGAGAGATGAAAGAAAAAAAGAAAAAGGGACAGAGACAAAAGGAAGGAGAGAGAGAGAGAAAACACATGGCTGGCAAGCCACTCCCACCAGGTCACATGGCTGGCAAGCCACTCCCACAAAGGAGGCCACACCCACAGAGTAGGTTCCAAAATTTTTTGAAACCCACCACTGAACGGTAAGTTCTTTTATTTACATGCAGACACCGTTTTTGAACTTCGTGCTTGAAGTGGAAAAGAATGGAATTTTGATTTTGGGTTTTACTGAGTAGATTGATGGGTCTTTATAGAAATGGCTTGTAGATATTGTTATGAAAAAGCAGAAAGTTGTGATTTGGTGCAAATGCCTTATTTTACTGCAACAAAAATGCCCAGTTTCATGAGGTATATCTTAACTTTCATATTTCTACATGCCTTTCATTCCTTTGTCCCAGATTTGCTTTTGTGATTGGGAATAGTACAGCTAGTCCTCAATTTACGACAGTTCATTTAGTGACTGAGATTACAATGGTGCTGAAAAAAGTGACATGTCCGTTTTTCACACTTATGATTGTTACAGCATCCTCACACTGAACGTGATCAGAATTCGTATGCTTGGCAACTGGTTCGCACTTACGACGGTTGCAGTGTCATGCGATTCCCCTTTTACAACTTTCTGACAAGCAGAGTCAATAGGGAAGCCAGATTCACTTTACAACCGTGTTACTATCTTAACAGCTGCAGTGTTTCACTTAGCAACAGTGGCAAGAAAAGTTGTAAAATCGGCAGTCTCACTTAGCAACAGAAATTTTGGACTCAATCGTGGTCATACGTCAAGGACTACTGTACTCTTTAAACAATGGAAAATCATGATTTTTCATAAAGAATATAAAGGCAAAGGTTCCCCTCTCACATATGTGCTAGAGTCGTTCCCAACTCTAGGGGGCGGTGCTCATCTCCGTTTCAAAGCCGAAGAGCCAGCGTTGTCTGAAAACGTCTCTGTACTCACGTGGCCAGCATGACTCAACACCAAAGGCACACAGAATGCTGTGACCTTCCCACCAAAGGTGTTTCCTATTTTTCTACTTGCAGAAGCCAGATTCACTTACGAACCATGTCACTAATTTCGTCAACTGCAGTGATTCACTTGACAACTGTAACAAGAAAGGTCATAAGAAGGGGGCAAAATATCACTTAACAAGTGTCTCGTTTAGCAACAGAAATTTTGGGCTAAATTGTGGTCGTTAAGTCAAGGACTCCCTGTACATAATGAGGAAGGAAGGAAGGAAGAAAGAGGGAAAGAAAAAGAGGGAGAATGAAAAAGAAAGAAAAAAGGAAAAAGGATTGAGAAAAGACTGCATAAATGCTCATAAATGCACTGCTCTAATTTAATAGTACATATTTTTTGTGGCCAGCATGACTCAACGCCGGAAGGCGCACGGAACACTGTGATCTTCCCACCAAAGGTGTTTCCTATTTTTCTACTTGCATTTTTTACATGCTTTCAAACTGCTAGATTGGCAGAAGCTGCTGGGACAAGTCACAGGAGCTCACCCTGTTACACGGCACGAGGGATTCGAACTGGCGACCTTTCTGATTGACAAGCTTAGCCACTGAACTACCGCATCCCTTATAAAGAATATATTGCCTTGCAAGTTTTCATAAACGCTTCTGAAATTTCCTTTTGAAAGAAAAGCTTATAATGGTGTGTAAAAACTGCACAGCCACTGGTGACTCCTCAGTCAGCTCCCAACAAGAAAAGTCATGGGGCAAGCCGGACTTAATGGCCACATGATTAACTTGACGATTTCAGGGATTTGGTTAAGAACCGGGCCCAAAAAAGATGGTAAAATCTGGCACAACTGACTTAATCATTCCTAGCTTAGTGTGCAAGGAATTTGCTGGTTTTTGCAGGAAGAATGCCAAATGGGTGCATTATTGTGGGTAGTGTTAATTGTCCTTCATTCCTTTTTCACATCCTTCCCTTCATTTCTTCCTTCTTTCCTTCATTTTGATGCATCTTCCTTCCTTCCTTCTTGTCCCCCTCCCTCTATTTTTCCTCTTTCTCTCATCTTCTTTACTTCCTTTCCTCTTCTCCCCTTCCTCCCTCTATTTTTTCTTTCTCTTATCTTTCTCCCTTCCTTCTTCCTCTCCTCCCCCTTCCTCTATTCTTCCTCTCTCATCTTCCTTCCTTCTTTCCTCCGTTCCTCGTCCTCCCCACTATTCTTCCTCTTTCTCTCCTACCCCTTCCTTCCTCCTCTTTCCTCTCCCTCTATTCTTCCTCTGTCTCTCCTTCCTTCCTCTTCTCCCCCCTCTCTCTATTATTCCTCTTTCTCTCCTCCTATTCCTTCCTCCTCTTTATTCTTCCTCTTTCTCTGCCCTTCCTTCTTTCCTTCCTTTTCTTTCTCCTCCTCCTCTGCAGGCTATTCTTCCTTTCTCTGCCCTTCCTTCCTTCCTTCCTCCTCCCCCACCTTCTCTATTCTTCCTCTTTCTCTCCTTCCATCCTCCTCTCCCCCTCCTCTCTCTATTATTCCTCTGTCTCTCCTTCCTTCCTCCTCTCCCCCTCCTCTCTCTATTATTCCTCTCTCTATTATTCCTCTTTCTCTCCTCCTATTCCTTCCTCCTCTTTATTCTTCCTCTTTCTCTGCCCTTCTTTCCTTCCTTTTCTTCCTCCTCCTCCTGCAGGCTATTCTTCCTTTCTCTGCCCTTCCTTCTTCCCTTCCTTCCTCCTCCCCCACCTTCTCTATTCTTCCTCTTTCTCTCCCCCTATTCCTTCCTTCCTCCTCTTTCCTCTCTATTATTTCTCTTTCCCTGCCTTTCCTTCTTTCCTTCCTCCCTCCTCTATTCCTCATCTCTCATCTTCCTTCCCTCCCCCTCCCTTCTTTCTCAAAAATAACTTTTTTTTAAAAAAAGAGATAAAATATTTACTACAAAAAAAAAACATCAAATCGCCTGCAACCCGATATAAAAAGAAATTTGCAAGCACTGTTTCTTGCAGCCAGTCCGCCAACTTCCTTCCCACTTCCCCCATCCTTGTCCAAGAAGCGTGGACTTCAACTCCCAGAATTCCCCGGTCCTCCCCGTTCTAAGCCCCCCGCCCCCCCGATAGGTCTGCACTCTGCATCCTCATCTGGGATCACCCTGGAGGCGGAGAAAGAATTCCCGGCGCGTGACGTCATCGCCATGACAACCTTTCAACTGTAATGCAACCGCCTTGCCCGCCAGCTGCAATTTGAGCAAAAAGCCCCCGCGACGGGTTGGAGGGCGGAGAGACCAAGCAGAAAATATATATATATATTTAAATTTTGCATTTTGTTTTATTTGCTAATCAGACCTCGTTGCATGCTGCAGGACCACCCATGGAAACGTCTTTCGTGGAAGAGGTGGCTGCATCTTTAGTGCGAGAGTTCCTGAGCAAAAAGGTGAGTGGGGGGTTGGGAGAGGAAAAGGATGGTGGGGGGGAGGAAAAAGCCTCGGGGCGCCCCTCCCTCTGGTGCCCAACCTGGAGAAGAGCCCCGGATCCCCTCCGGAGACTACATTTCCCACAATACATTTGGGGGGGGGATGGCGAGGCGGAGAAAAATTTTCCTCCTTCCCATAGGCAAACTGTTAATTATGTTTGCAATTAACTTTTAGTTAAAGAAGTTTTTTTTTTCAGAGCAAAAACAATACAAATTTAAAGAAAAAGGTAAGGATAGATAAGTAAAAGGGATAAGTAGAGACAGAAAGAAAGAAAGAAAAAGAAAGAAAGAGAGAGGGAGTAAATCAGGGAAGGAAAGAAAGAAGAAAGAAAAGAAGAAAGAAAAAAGGAAGCGTAGATAAGTAAAAGAAAAGGGATAAGTAGAGATAGAAAGAACGAGAAAGAGAGGGAGGGAGGAAATCAGGGAAGAAAGAAAGAAAAAAGAAAAAAAGAAAAGAAAGAAAAGAAAGAAAAAAGAACTTAGAGAAGTAAAAGAAAAGGGATAAGTAGAGACAGAAAGAACAAGAAAGAGAAGCGAGGCAGGGAGGGATGAAATCAGGGAAGGAAAGAAAGAAGAAAGAAAAAAAGAAAGAATAGAAGAAAAAAGAAAAGAAAAAAGAACTTAGAGAAGTAAAAGAAAAGGGATAAGTAGAGACAGAAAGGAAGAAAAAAAGAGAGGGAGATGGAGGGAGGAAATCATGGAAGGAAAGAAATAAAAAGGAAAGTAAGAAAGAAAGAAGAAAAATGAAAGAAAGAAAAAGAGGGAACAAGGAGGGCTTTGAATCTTTTTCAAGGTTATATACAGATATAACCTTTATTGTCATTTTTTACCTTGAGCATAAAGTCACACATTAAATATGAAATTCGGTTGCCTTTACAGCAGTGATAATTGTATTAATATCTTACCCTTTCTCTCTAAAGGGTACATTGTCCCCCCTTCTTTCCTTATTCTATTCTTTCTAAGCATCCTATCCATAAAGCACAAGCTCATTTCCGCCCCTGTTTTCAGCAAAAGTCCATAAAGAGATCCCAGTGTTCCTCAGTCTCAGCAACTATGACTTGTACAGGGACTCCAATTCCCAGAATTCTCAGCAATAATCCTGCAGGAGAATTCTGGGAATTGGACTGTGCATTTTCAACCATGCCGGGTGAGCAATTCTGGGAGTTGAAGTCAACTATGTTAAAGCATGCTGGCTGGGGAATTCTGGGGATTGAAGTCCACACATCTTAAACCTCTTTAAGAGTTATGAAGCTTGAGAAACACAGTGCCGACAGCTTCTCTGAATATTATTATTACACTGACTTCTAAGTTAACCAGCGGTATGAAGACCGAGTGGCTTCTGATGTTCCCTCCCAAAGATTGTCCAACTGTTCCATCTCTCAGGCTGGGGGGGCGAAATTATACACCCCTCAGAGAGGGTTCGCAATTTGGGAGTCTTCCTGGACCCACAGCTGACT